AAAATATCTTTTATGAGCATCTGCACCTATTTTATGCCTATCCATACAGTACAGTACTGTTCAATAATACAACCTCAGCTGAAAACTTTTCTTAATTTATATGTGTGATTCTTATATTGTAAAGGGAAGCCTAAGCTCCCTATAATAAAGATGTATCTCACCTGCCGTAAGGATAATTTTAACATCATGTCAATGTTTAATTGTGCATGAAATCACCTACGGCTGTGTTTACAGTCCTGATCTCAGTATTGGAACAGTATAGATCAGTGGTGAACTTATGACACATGTGCCAGAGGTGGCACTCAGAGCCCTTTCTGTGGGCACACGTGTCATGCCCCAGAGATGGCAACCGTCCCTCTTCAACCAGCCCCCCCCCCCCGCTAACTCGCCGAGGTCCCATGTGGCCAGATGCATCTGTCCTGGCCTCACATGCTCTCCTTTTCCCACTGCATCGCCGCCTCAGCTGTCGGCTGGCTGTCCAGCTCAGAGGCAGCTTCTCTGAATTGCTGGTGGTGGGCTGCAGAGCCCCAAAGTGTGCCGGTCGAGGGGCTAGCAGGCTGTGGCTGCTGATGGACACTGTCAGCCCCCATGCGCTCACTGGCCTCTGTGTGCGGGGGCCAATGGTGTCAGGCAGCAGCTGTCCTGGCCCTTGCCTTGCATCCCCACCCTGTCTCACCTCACCCCACAAGGGTCCCTCCCCACAAGCAACATCAAGGTGACCACGCCTACCTTGGCCACACCCACCCAGTCTGCCATGACCACCACAGCCATGCCCACCCAGTGGGCCATGCCCACCTGGCACCTGGCAATTGGGTTGCAGTTTGGGCACCCGGTCTCTAAAAGGTTCGCCACCACTGGTATAATCCTCGACTTACAACATTTTTTAAATTTACAACAGCACTGAAAAAAGTGACTTATGACCATTTTTCAGACTTATGATTGTTAGAGCATCTCCATGATCATGCGATCAAAATTGAGACATTTGGTAACTGGTATGTATTAACGACAGTTGCTGTGTCCTAGGGTCACATGATTACCTTTTGCAACCTTCTGACAAGCAAAGTCAACAGGAAGCCAGATTCACTTAACAACTGGGTTACTAACTTAACAACCGCAGTTTCACTTAACTGTGGCAAGAAAGGTCATAAAATGGGCAAAATTCACTTAACTGTTTCACTTAGCAACAAATTTTGGGCTCAATTGTGGTCGTACAGTAAATCGAGGACTATCTGTGCAAAAAATACGAATGACCATCCCAGCTCTATCTAAGAGCAATCAGAATTTTTGGGTAGGTTGCTCCTGCTTTTGACACTGTTGCCTAGAAAACCTCATTGCCGCCATGAAACCACCAAAAGATGGGCTTGACTCAAAGGTAACTATTGTACTATTTTTTTTAATCCTCAGTCAAGTGATTGCCTCCCACCCTCATTAATTTTTTAAACAATTGACATTCTATTATTTTATAACATTTAATGATAGTGGAACCTAAGATAGTAATGCCCATCTTCACTTCCCCAAGCTCTTTGTAAAGACCTCCCTCCTTTCTCCAGACAATTTGCTTCCTACCTGCACAGGGGTATGAACGTCTCTACAGGTAGTCTTCAACATACAACAGTTCATTTAGTGGCCGTTCAAAGTTACAATGGCACTGAATAAATTGACATGACCATTTTTCATACTTACGACCTTTCCAGCATCCCCATGATCATGTGATCAAAATTCAGATGCTTGTTAATGGGTTCATATTTAGGAACCAGTTACAGTGTCCCAGGGTCATGTGATCATCTTTTGCAACTTTCTGACAAGCACAATCAATAAGGAAGCCAGATTCACTTAATAACCACATTACTAACTTATCAACTGCAGTGATTCACTTAACTGTGGCAAGAAAAGTCATAAAATGGGGCAAATACTCACTTAATAAACGTCTCACTTAACATCATCAATTCTGGGCTCAATTGTGGTTGTAAATTGAGGACTACCTGTATGTGCTATTGGTGTGTTTTGTAGGCAGAGCTCTTCAAGCACTCAAAATCCTCCCCAAAGGAGAAGAGGACTTCTTTTTTTCTTACACACCCCGTTCAACCAGTTTACAACTATGAGCAGCCCCCTCTCTGGGCAACGAGTCCCCTCCTCAAAGTTCCCAAAGCGTTTCTTCCCAGGCAACCTCCGGCAAATCCCGCAGTCCCGCTAAGTGGCGCAAAGCGTTCAAGCTACAGGCGTTGCCCGGCCTTTCCCGGATGGAGAAACAGTTCAGCTCAACAGGCTCCTTTCCAGAAACTCTCCGCGACGGCCAACGCTTTGCCCCCACCGCCACCCATTACTCGGCATCCTGCATGGAGGCTTCAAGCGGGGAGGAAGCCTCCCGGAGAGCCCGCTCGGCTCCAGCCAGGGATCCATCCCGGTTTCCGCCACCCCGCCGGGAGGACGCAGCCCACCAGTTGGCCAAGCGGGAGGAGGACCGCTCGGCTTCTCGGGTTTCTGTCGGGCGGGGGGAGGGCAGCGAGGCAAGCTCTCCCGCGCCCCCGCCTTTTTTCCAAGCACTCACCGAGTCGCGACTCCCGATGCCCGCCCCGGGGTCGCAGGGCGGAAACCCCGAGCGCTAGTAGCAGCAGCAGCAGCGAGAACCAAGCGGGAAGCAGCCGCCGACCGGAGCGACGGGACTGAGGCTGCATGGTCCCCGGGCGGCGGCAGAACTCCTTCTCCTTCCTTCCTTCGCGCTCACATCAGCCGACGTCCGCCTTCCTCCTCCGGCCCTAGGGAGGCTCTCGCCCTCTTTCCCACATAGACACACACACGGAAGATGAGCCGGCCTCCCGCGGAGCATGACGGGCCGGCAGAGCGGCCGCCATCTTGTTCCGCTCGGGAAGGGGAGGAGCGTTTCCCAATGACGTGGGGGGGGAAGCGGCGGCGTTTTGATTTCGCTCTTGCTTGTCTGGGCCGCCTCTCGAAGTAGAAGAGAGGCAGCTGTGGCGAGAGTTAGCGCTGGTATCCGGGGAATGAAGAATAAATGCATTTTTGTTTTAATTTTTCGGCTGGGGTTCCTGTGCCGCTTACTTAGCGGAGGTTTCCTTGGACTTCAGTAAGGCACTGCCATAAAGAAGAGGGAGTCAAGCTATTTTCCAAAGCGCCTGAGGGAAGGACAAGAAGCAACGGATGGAAACTAATCAAGGAGAGAAGCAACCTAAAACTAAGGAGAAATTTCCTGACAGAACAATTAACCAGTGGAACAACCTGCTTCCAGAAGCTGTGAATGCTCCAACTCTGGAAGTTTTTAAGAAGAGACCGGACAGCCATTTGTCTGAAATGGTGTAGGGCAGTGGTTTTCAACCTGTGGGTTGGGACCCCATTTGGGGTCAACGACCATTTCATGGGGGTCGCCAAACAACACAGTCCGCCATTTTTTCCCCTTTCCCTTAGCTGTGCTACTCCCTTTTATTCTATTGGCTTTTGAAAGCCAATAGAATAGACCAGGGGTAGGCAACCCAAAACACTTAAAGAGCCACTTGGACCCGTTTCCCACCAAAAACAAAACACTGGGAGCCGCAAAACCCTTTTGATATCTAAAATGAAGATAACACTGCATATATCCTTTTTTACCTTTATTATAGGTGTGTGTGTGTGTTTCTGTGTGTATCTGTGTGTGTATATATATGTATATGTGTATATACACACACACACACACACACATACACAGGTAAAAAAAGGATATATGCAGTGTTATCTTCATTTTAGATGTCAAAAGGGTCTCTCTCTCTCTCTGTGTCTGTCTCTCTCTCCCTCCCTATCTGCCCTTGGTCTGCCACTCCTCTTCCCCCGCTCTCTTTCTTTCTCTCTCTCTCTTTCCTCTCTCTCTCTCCCTCCCTCTCTCTTTCTCTCTCTCTCTTTCTCCCCCCCCTCCTATCTGTTGCTCACCTGGCAAGCTTCAAGCTGTTGTCCAACAAGCAACCTCGTCTCTTTTATGACTCATGGACTTCAACTCCCAGAATTCCTGAGTCAGCCTAGCTGGGCTAGCTAGCTCTCTCTTGCCCTTCCTGCTTCCTGCTTCCTGCAGAGACGCAGCAAAGGGAGGAGCTCCGCCCAGTAAGCTTTTCAGCTCCTCGGAGAATACTGTGAGTGCACTCTCTTTTACACAGACACACAGACACACACACACAAAAACACAAACACACACACACACACACACACACACAGAGAGAGAGAGAGAAGCAGGGAAGCGCAATTGCCTCTCTCTGTCTCTGTCTCTCTCTGCAAAGGCAGAGGAGGCTGGGAGCCACATGGGAAGGCTCAAAGAGCCGCATGCGGCTCCGGAGCCGCAGGTTGCCGACCTGTGGAATAGACTCTCTTGAATAGAGTCTAATTCTATTGGCTTTCAAAAGCCAATAGGAATTGTCCAGGCTGTCTCTGCCCTGCTGAGCCCGCCAAAATTCCCATTCTGCAAATGGTGCTGCACCAGTTGAGTAGTCCTCGACTTACGACCGGTTGAGTAGTCCTCAACTTATGACCGGTTGGGGGTTGCGGCATTAAAAAGGTTGAGAACCACTGGTGTAGGGTTCCTGCCTAAGCAGGGGGTTGGACTATGACCTCCAAGGTCCCTTCCAACTATTTATTATTATTATTATTATTATTATTATTATTATTATTATTATTATGTGAGTTTGGTGGTAACAGCCGGCCTAGCTTGACTGAGGTGGGCAGTTACGTCGGCCATCACGGAGTAGTACAGGTACTCCTCGAATTACGACCACAATTCAGCCCAAAATTAAGTGAGACGTTTGTTAAGTGAGCTTGTCACCATTTTACGACCTTTTTGCCACAATTGTCAAGTGAATCGTTGCAGTTGATAAGTTAGCAATCCAGTTGTTAAATGAATCTGGCTTTCCCCGTTGACTTTGCTTGTCACAAAAGGGGATCACATAACCCTGGGTCACAGCAACAGTCATAAATACGAACCAGTTGCCAAGCATCTGAATTTTGATCACATGATCATGGGGATGCTGCCATGATCGTAACTCTGAAAAACAGCAATAAGTCACGTTTTTCGGTGCCACTGTAACTTTGGTCACTAAATGAATTGTTGGGAGTCAAGGAGAAGTAAGAGTTGCAGACTAGATTGGAAGGGCGACAACCCCGAAGAACGATGAAAAAGAAAGTTTCATGGAAGTGTCTCTAATGAAGTTACACATAATCAAGCTCATTTGGAAGGAGACATTGCTTTCCATTTGGGGCTACTGAAAAAAAAAGACTCCACTAGAGAGCTGTCTCTTGGCTTGTCCCCTAGCTGTAAAAGACAAAGGTCTCCTTGGTCAGTGTTGGAACTGTCAGGAGTATCCTTATCTGAGATGGATGGCAGCCCTGACCCTCTCTAAAACCTTTCCTCAGAAATTGAAGCCTCTGCATCCTAAAATTGTGTTTTTATTCTGCCCTCTATTGCTATATAGTGGCTTTATTGGAGGAGAAAAGTTTTGAAATCCTATGAGGGCTCCCTTTCCCATCAGTTGTAATTTTGTTTGACTTTAGGATTAATATTAACAGATTTTTTTTTTCTCAAGTTCTGGAGTAAGATTCAGCAGTGAAGGAAAGGAACTTGACTAAAAGTGACAATCATTAATTTATGCAGAAAAAGCAGGCCTAAAGGTTCAAGCCATTATCAGTATTGTAACCGTATAGTACTCAAACAGGTTTGAGTACTATACGGTCCCTATCCTGTACAAGAATACTAAATTATCAGCATACAGGAACTGGCAATTATGAAGCAGACATGAAACCTCTAAGCTGGGCTACCATTTTGCAAAATACATCTGTTGTACTAGGAATTTTTGGTGTAAATGGAGACCAGGTTAGAAGAAAATCATCTGACTTCAAAACTCACTTAAACAAATTTCTCACTTAGCAACATAAATTTTGGGGTCAGTTGTAGTCGTAGGTTGAGGACTATATGTATTTCTACCCAATTCTCTACCCCACTTCTTCTATTTGTAAAGGTAACTATGCAAATAGATCTATTTCTAATCTGTATCATGAATCTAACCTTAAATCTATTTCACTACCAATAATGTTTTCCCCTTAAATATGACCCATCATTTTGCTACACCTAATGTTCAACGATATGCTCTCCAGAGTGAAAGTAGCATTGCTCTCCAGAGTGAAAGTAGCATTTTTAATTTGGAGAAAAAGGGAGATACGAGGACTCAGTTTTAAAGAAATAGAAAAATCTTATGAGACAGGCTACATATAGTGATAGTAGGATTCTTAAACATATTTTTTTGCTAACACAACTGTAATCTCATAATTGAAGTCCTTTGGGGTTACCTGAATAAGGGAATCATTCTGATTTATCTCCCCCCCTCCAACCAAACACATGATGCTGTGGTAGTGCGGACAGAATGCCTGAAGGCTGTAAGAGTCTGGATGAGGAAGTACCAGCTTCTATTCATCCATGGCAAGGTGGAGTGGCTACGGGATTTGTCGTCCAGACCCAGGTGGTATTTCGTTCTTTAACTCTGAATGGAATGGTGCTTCCCCAGTCTGAGCTGGTGTGCAGTGTGCAATTTAGGAGTCCACCTGGACTCATAGCTGCTGCTCGAGCAGGTGGCAGCCATGGCTTGGGGAGGGGGGGACCTTTCGCAGATTTGTCTATTGTGCCAATTGCACCTTTCCCTGGAAGCCTTGCTCATGGTTACTCAGTTTGGATTACTGCAATGCATTCTACTGGACCAAGGGTAGGCAACCCAAAACACTCAAAAGAGCCACTTGGACCCATTTCCCACCGAAAACAAAACGCTGGGAGCTGCAAAACCCTTTTATCTAAAATGAAGCTAACACTGCATATATCCTTTTTTACCTTTATTATAGGTGTGTGTGTGTGTGTGTGTGTGTGTGTGTGTGTGTGTATTAAAGGTAAAAGAGGATATATGCAGTTATCTTCATTTTAGATGTCAAAAGTCTGTCTCTCTCTCTGCTCTCCCTCTCTCCGATCTTCTGCTCACCTGGCAAGCTGGCTTCGAGCTGTTCTCCAACAAGCTCAGAGGTAGGCAACCTCGGCTCTTTTATGACTCATGGACTTCAACTCCCAGAATTCCTGAGTCAGCATAGCTGGGCTAGCTAGCTCTCTCCTGCCCTTCCTGCTTCCTGCAGAGACGCAGCAAAGGGAGCTCTGCCCAATAAGTTTTTCAGCTCCTTTACACACACACACAGAGAGAGAGAGAGAGAGAGAGAGAGAGAGAGAGAGAGAGAGAGAGAGAGAGAGAGGAGAGGGAGGGGCAAGTGCCTCTCTGTCTCTGTCTGCAGAGGGCAGAGGAGGCTGGGAGCCGCAGGGGAAAGGTTCAAAGAGCCACATGCGGCTCCGGAGCCGCAGGTTGCTAACCTGTGTACTGGACTGTCCAGAAAATGAACTGGTCCAGAATGCAGCAATGCACAAGTAATGGGAACCCCTAGATTTGCCCATGTTAAGACTTCTGTTGTGTGAGCTGTGTGGGCTTTGTTTTTTTCTAGGTGCAATTCAAGGTGGTCTTCCCCTTTAATGCTCTATATGTCACAGGGCCAGGTTATATGAAGGCATCTACAGGACATTGGCCCGTCCTACTTGGTCAGACAGGGTGAGTATGCTTTCGTTTCCTTCCCCTAAATATTGTTATCTGGTGGGAGCTAGCAAGCATGACTTTTCTGGGACAGCCAACTGCCCTATGGAACACTGTGCACCATAGAAGTTAGGCAAGCCTCTACCCTCCAGACCTTGCGTAAAGTTTTGAAGACCTGTTTTTTTCTTCCCCCAAGTGCTAGGGTATTATTAGGTGACTGCACATCATGAGCTTCACTTGGTGCCAGGTTTTTGTTGGTTTTTAATGTCTTGGTTTTATAGTTTTAATGTGGTTTTGCATATTGTCTACTTTTGATTGGAAGCCATTCAGAACGGGTTACAAGATGAACGGCTATAAAAAAAGTTTTAAATAATTAAAAGGAAAATGGATACAATGAAAATGGATCCTAAGAACATTCTCAAAATATTGAGATTAACAAAGATTGAGATCATTAAATTTACGGCTGTTGAATTATTTTCTCCCCAGACTTTTTGAAAAGGATTCAATATAGGTAATTTGTCTTTACTTTCAATTCGGCAGTCCAGTTTGTTAAGCAAATAATTATATTTTTAGCAAAGCTGCATGTAAATGTTACAAAGCAACATTTTATGGTTTATAAAATGTAATTTTATTTAATGTTATTTTGTTACATAGGGCATTAACATTTTCACAAGGCTTTTTTGGGACTACAATCAATGATTAGCAACACACAATAGTGGTCCATCTACCTACAGAACAAATCACTGGACGAACTTGACACCTTCATACATGTGCACAAATCTGCATGGAAAAGTTTTATACTTGGACATGTGACCACTTTCCCCATTCCAGTGTTAAGAAATGACATGCAATTTAGTCTGCCAAAAAGGCACTCCCTGTTTTCTGGCAGTAACATGCTGCTTCTAAGACATAATCAAGTGAATACCAGAACTACAAAGGCAGGAGTGTGATATTTTATTGGGAGGGGATAGCAATTGGACAGCAGCAACTGAAGAGTAAGAAGAGTCCCTGTATTTAAACACTCAATAGCTCCTGCTGTACACATATGTAGGAAGCCACACTACTATGCTTTCTATGTAGCCCAATACTCCCATTTCCTACAGAAAGGAATTAACAATAGCATGTAAAAATCAAACCAAGTAACCCCTGAATAAAAAGGGAATGTGAAGAATTGTACTGCATAAAACTTTTTAGTTGCGTTACTCAAATATTTGTGGTTTTTTCTGTAATACCAAAACAATTGCTTGAAGGACCTGGTTCAGATTTCTTTAAAAAAATACCAAATAACTTTAGTCTGCTACTTAAGTGTTTGGAAATTATTTATGTTTATATGAAATTTAAGCCAGTATTAATACTTTTCTACAGCAGTAACCGCACACCAGGAAGGCCAAGACAAACACAAATCAAGGAATGGATTTTTCCCAAAGCTGCAGTGTGAAAAGACTATAAATTGATTTCCATACATATGGATGGGTTCTCTTTGCTATAGGAAATCCAAGTGGAGCTATAAGGAATGAGACGTGTAAAAAGATTTCTTGAGAAGAATGACACTTCAGGTTCAACTTAATTTTCTGCACCTTCCGCAGCATCACATTCTTCTCCTGCGCTGTCTGATGTCCATAACTAGAAAGAAAAACAACCAGACTGAAGTACAGCACATTCAGTTTAAATATACGCTCATTCTGCCTTTCAGCCCCGAATAACTGTTCAAACAACCTGACCCCCCCCCCCCACACACACATATTGAAATCTTCTAAATGGCAGAGTAAATAAGCAATGGCAAAGATAACCGGCTTTTTAACTGATGAATTCATACTCCTTTAAATAGCTTTACCTACATCATATGAAATTGTTAATATTACTTGGATAATAAGTCATATATGCATTTCTATTTAAGTTTAGCCAAGGGAAATAGTCTTAGAAAGACAATATCAAGAATGTATGTTTATTATTCCAATACCAAACAGCCTTGGCTTGCAACTATTATTCCTAAAGGTATTTTCCAAAGAATCACAATTAAGAGTGGCAAACTCAGATTTTAAACACAGTTATTCTAAGAAAATTAAAAGGTGTATCTTACTGTGAGGTTGTCTCTAAGCAACTGCATGATGAGTGTGCTATCTTTGTATGAGTCTTCATTCAGTGTATCAAGTTCAGCAATGGCTTCATCAAAAGCCTGTAAGAGAAACAAAAACCAGTCTTACTAAATTCAGGAAAAAACCTTCCCCAAAGTAAACATTTGTACAGAGAGCTAAATCAGCTTTCTTCATAGGTGCATCTTATTTCTTTAATGAAAACTGCTCTGAATTATATATTATATATAATTATATATTATACAATAATGATTATTAATACAAAACCTGTGTGATGAAGCTTTCAAGCAAAAAAAGGAAGGGGGATGCTTAGCCACAATGTTTTCATCTGGTGAACAAGATTTATCATACATACTTTAGACAACAGGGGAAAAGAGAGCAATCAATCCTAAGTACTGTTCCCTCAAATTAAGTTTCACTGTGATCAGTGAAGGCAAAGATGCAACCTTATACAGTGGCAGTTGCATCTTGAAATCACCAAGTGAAAATCTGTGAAGAACAATTAAGTGCCCTTTAGTACACTTCACTGTTAATGGGTCTCTCAAGTTTCATCATGTAACAGCAATCATGGGAAAAGATACATCACTCTAGACTATATTTTACAAGAACTCTATGTTTTCTACATACAATTCTCATTTAAGAAAATAAGCAGTTGAGACTACAAAGTCCTCTTCCTTTATGTGCATGCACAGACATACAAAAAAACTTACTGTCTTGGCCAATGTGCAGGCCAATTCTGGATTGTTGAGGATCTCATAATAAAACACCGAAAAGTTAAGCGCTAGACCCAAACGAATTGGATGTGTAGGTTGCATCTCTTTCTTGCTGATGTCAAATGCTTCTTGATAAGCTGCCTGTGAATTTTCTATTGTTTCTGTGAAGAAAAAGGAAAAATAAGTGAAAGCAACCTAAAAAATTAGTCGGGATTATTATCCACACAAGCAGGACATAATACATAATGCTCCTGCCTTTTATAATGGCTTCATACACATGTGTTCTAACTGAAAACTATAGGTTTAAATGAACACAGTACTCACGTTTCCTGTCATCTCCACTTGCAACTTCTGCAAGATAACGGAAATAGTCTCCTTTCATCTTCAAATAAAAGACCTTGCTCTCTGGATTAGTTGCGTTAGCTATTAAGTACTTGTCCAGCAGTTCCTATCACAATAAAAATGAAGACAAAAGCCGCCATTTGGTCATGTATCACCTTGCTTGGATTCAAGTAAAATTTCACCACCATAAAAGGACAGCATATTCAATTACATGAAAACATTTAAACTACTGTACTATGTTGTAAGTGGGTACAATTGCATTTTCGGTAAGAAAATGCCTTAAATAAAAGGAATATTCACTTCTAGGATTATCTTGCTAGTTATGCAATACATAATATCTAGGCCAGCGTTCCCCAATCTTTCCGTGTTGGCAGCCTGGCGCAGGGGAGGGTGGGAAGAGGGGATAGGTTTGTGTGAGCGGCAGGCACGCACACATGGACAGCTTCATTTGTGTGAGTGGTGGGCACATGGGGACCTCTGATCTAGGCAATACTTATACAAATTACTAACAAGAAATTAAGGACACATACCCATTAACTTTTATTATCTGGGGGGAAAGCACAGAAATATAAAATAAACACATAAAATAAATGCACTATTAATTATATAGCTGCCCATTTTATATCAAATTCTGGGCAGGTTCCAATCAATAAAAAACAGAATACTTATACCTATTAAAACCATAAACATTAAAAACCTGGCACCAAAGCTAGGCTTCCAACATCTCATTAAATCCTCTCATCCACCTCATCAGATTCCAGTGCCTGGAGGAAAAGCCAAGTCTTTTTAAATATTTTTCAAAAGGAGGGTATTTAACTGGTCATATATTTAATTAAAAATTCATTCCACATTTCATTCAGTGTTTCAAGGCAACCTGCACAGCTCTCCCTGCTATGTTCCCTTGCAACACTTTGAGACAAAAAACTAGATTTTCCAATTCCTAATCAAATGCCTTAATTACTATACCATTCAGAGCTCTAGAAATAGTTACTATAAATATTAATACAACTGTTCTGAAACATTCATGGGCCAAGAATCCTATTCATCTGCTCACCTAGCATGGTTTTTTTTTAAAAGGCTATTAAGCAGAGAATCAGTACCTTTGATTCAGTTGAGATGTTGGTCCTTCTCCTGTTTTCCTTCCTCTGACCTGTTCTTCATTCAACTCTCTTTTTCTGTCTTATTCTTTCAGCACTATGTAATATATACATTACTTTGCTCTCTAATTTAACTAATAAGTAGGTCCCCTGTGTTCACAATGCAGAAATACGAGTTTCTGAAGAATATTGCTAGACTGATGAGTCTAAAGGTGGGTGGAACAAAGTTATTTTTCTGGAATTTCTTCCAGCATTGTTTTCTCTCCCTCCCTCCCTAAATGGTCAGAGAAGATAGATCAGCCCGAAGCATCTAATTCTGGGTAGGATGAGAGCAAGCAGAACATAGCTGACTTAATTTGCAAGGGGATGTACAGGCAAAAGACAAAAATGGTAATAACAGGTGAATCTAAGTGCCAGGGATTTGAACATGAAAACTAATATAAGGTAGGCTTCCTTAAAATCAGTACAAGGTATAAATAAGCTAAAAATGAAATCCTGAAATAAAGTAAGTAGGTACAGATAGTCCTTAACTTACAACAGTTCATTTAGTGACCATTCAAAGTTACAATGGCATTGAAAAATGTGACTTATAACCAACCGTCTTTCATAGTTATGACCTTTCCAGCATCCCCATGATCAAGTGATCAAAATTCAGATGCTTGGCAACTGGTTCATATTTATGATCATTGCTGTGTCCCAGGGTCATGTGATCACCTTTTGCAATTTTCTGACAAGCACAGTCAATGGGGAAGCCAGATTCACTTAACAACCATATTATTAACTTATCAACTGCAGTGATTCACTTAACATCTGTGGCAAGAAAAGTCATAAAATGGGGCAAAACTCATTTAACAAATGAGTCACACTTAACAACAGAAATGTTGGGCTCAATTGTGGTCGTAAGTCAAGGAGTACGTGCAATGGCGACATGACTTGTATTCTTAGCCAATCTATCCTGAAAACTCATCTTCAAGCTTACAAAGGAGTCATCAAAAAACTAATAATCATTTTAAAAAGCACTATCTTTTGATAATTAGCCTTTATGTATTTATGTCTATGGTTTGATGTTAAAATCTGAAGTATCTTAAATGAAAATTTTGTGGCAACTGAAGCAGATCGCCCAATAAAAAAACTATTTTGCAACAGTGATTCTTAAAACAGCAATAGGTAGTTATTTGTGATGGTTTGCAAGTAATTTGGACATTATATTAATATCATTCCATACATGTTTATATCCTGTTCTAAACTGTAAGACTATCCAAGCCTGAAAAACAATAGACTGGGTGTGATGATTTGTATTTTTGTAGTGTAGCAAGCTGCAGAATCACTTCCCAACTGAATATGCAAAAGAAATAAAAGAGACATCATGCCTAAAGTTTTTTTTCCCATTGATAAAATGAAACTTCTATCAGAATTTCTATCTTCACTTTTCTAATTTTGACTTATTCTCTTAATAGTGCAGAAGCACCATGCTGTTCAATGCCAAAGCTGTGTGTAGATTTTTGCAGACAAAAAAATGTAGAAGATTAGCCAGTTTATTTTGCAATGTTGTTTCAGAAGAGCTTTTAACTTTCCATTGTATGTAATGATTTCTCTCAATATTCAGTGATTACTTTGAACATTTCTATAGTTTCATGCCTTTGGTTTAAATGTCTTAAATTTAGCTATCTGGGAAGCCTTATACTGATCTTTTATTGAATTCTTTTTGAACTGAAAATTCATATAAACCTGATTTACAATGAAGCATTTCTGCCAACAGTGTGCATTCTAAAACACTATGTTTAATTATGAAATACCGTATTTTCCGGCGTATAAGACGACTTTCTAAACCCTGAAAATCTTCTCAAAAGTCAGGGGTCGTCTTATAAGCCAGAATATA